TCATGTGATCTCCAGGCTGTCGAGCTGGAAGAGGTTGTTATTGGTGGGCGTGGTGAAGTAGAGCTGGTTGCCGGTTGGCGGGTGGATGTCACACGGGCTTTTCAGTCCCAGAGTTCGTTCGAAGTCCAGCAGCTGCCCCATGAAGTTGAAGTTGGGGGAGATGTTCGACTTTTTCCTCTTCACGAAGTCGTAGGCGTCGTTGAGGGTCAGGTTGAGTTTCTGCATGAGGTAAGCCACGGTGACCGTCACCGAGCGGCTGATGCCGGCCAGGCAGTGGACCAGGACGCCGCATTTGTTGGACCGAGCTTCTTCTGCGGGGAGAGGAAAAGGAAGGCGGTCAGAGATCGGCAGTCAGGGAGGACCAAAGGATATTGTCTGGTGGGAGAGTCCCGCCCGACCAACTGGAGGATCGAGGATGGAAAACCCACCAAGATGCTTCTTCCTGGAGGATGAGAACATCTGTAACCCCTGCTGTGCCCATTATGAGGGGTTCCCACCATCCCTGTGCTGAGTTCCCAGGTCTGTACACCCTGCTTTTCCCATTATGAGGGGTTCCCACCATCCCTGTGCCCATTATGAGGGGTTCCCACCATCCCTGTGCTGAGTTCCCGGGTCTCTACACCCTGCTGTGCCCATTATGAGGGGTTCCCACCATCCCTGTGCCCATTATGAGGGGTTCCCACCATCCCGTGCCGAGTTCCCGGGTCTGTACCCTTGCTGTTCCCATTATGAGGGGTTCCCACCATCCCTGTGCCCATTATGAGGGGTTCCCACCATCCCTGTGCTCATTATGGGGGGTTCCCACCGACCCTGTGCTGAGTTCCCGGGTCTGTACACCCGTTGTGCCCATTATGAGGGGTTCCCACCATCCCTGTGCTGAGTTTTATCTCAGATGCCGTTCTGCTCCTGGAAGTGGGAGGGGACACGTCTTCTCATTTTTGGGGCCGGAGGTGACAGAGTCTGTTCGCTGCTGATAAGGAGTTTCCATGACGACGGTCACCACGTCTCCTTTTCTGATTCTGAAATGGGAAGAATTATTCGCAGTACAGGCGCCACTGTCACCCCGGGGTGGGGGGGGGGGAGGGGCTGGACTCTGGAGCTGGGCGGTGCATAGAATGCGCTCAGAGCAGGAATAGTTTTTTTTTTTTTAAATCTTTGCTACATTTAAACCGAGAGCCAAACTACAGAGTGAGGGTGGGGGGGGGGGGCCCGATGGGGGGGGGCCCATTGCAAGATTCGCCCCCCCTTATTGATTATACAATGACATCATCGCTGGTCGTCCTGTAAGCTGAGGACAGAACTACAAAACGTTGTCGGTTTTCATCTTTAGAATACACTCCGGCCTGAGGAAGGCTGTGTGAGGCACAGAGGGTTGATTTCAGTGTGGCTGGCCAGAGGGTTGATTTCAGTGAGATGCACAGAGGGTTGATTTCAGTGATGGCCGGGATGCGGGACAGAGGGTTGATTTCAGTGATGGCCGGGGGATGCCGGGATGCACAGAGGGTTGATTTTTCAGGGTTGATGGCGGGGGATGCACAGAGGGTTGATTTCAGTGCTGGCCGGGATGCACAGAGGCTCCGAGGGCAATAGAGCTACATGACTAAGACAGCTGAACCAGCTCCCCATACAGCCTGCAGGGGGTCTGTGATCGTTGCCAACCATCCTACTGTACATACAACTTCACCTCGTGATTGTTAAAGCTGCTGGGAGTGGGGGGAGCAGGGTCAGTGTCATCTCTGGGGGGTGCAGGAATGGGGGTGTCCCGAGGGATGCAGGAATGGGGGTGTCCCGAGGGGTGCAGGAAAGGGGGTGTCCCGAGGGGTGCAGGAAAGGGGGGTGTCCCGAGGGGTGCTGCAGGAAGGGGGGTGTCCTGAGGGGTGGTGCAGGAACGGGGGTGTAGGAAGGGGGGTGTCCCGGGGGTGGTGGTGCAGGAACGGGGGTGTTTCTGGGGTGGTGCAGAAAGGGGGGGTGTCCTGAGGGGTGGTGCAGGAACGGGGGTGTCCCGGGGGTGGTGCAGGAACGGGGGTGTCCCGGGGGTGGTGCAGGAACGGGGGGTGTCCCGGGGGTGGTGCAGGAACAGGGGTCCCAGGGGTGGTGCAGGAACGGGGTCCCGGGGTGTGTGCAGGGGGGGGGTGGTGCAGGAAGGGGGTTGTCCCGGGGGTGGTGCAGGAAGGGGGGTTGTCCCGGGGGTGGTGCAGGAAGGGGGGGTCCCGGGGGCGGTGCAGGAACGGGGGGGTCCCGGGGGCGGTGCAGGAACGGGGGTGTCCCGGGGGTGGTGCAGGAAGGGGGGTGTCCCGGGGGTGGTGCAGGAACGGGGGGTCCCGGGGGTGGTGCAGGAAGGGGGGTGGTGCAGGAACGGGGGTGTCCCGGGGGTGGTGCAGGAAGGGGGTTGTCCCAGGGGTGGTTGCAGGAAGGGGGGTGTCCCGAGGGTGGTGCAGGAACGGGGGGTCCCGGGGGCGGTGCAGGAACGGGGGGGTCCCGGGGGCGGTGCAGGAACGGGGGGTGTCCCGAGGGGTGCAGGAAAGAGGGTGTCCTGAGGAATGGGGGGGTGGTGCAGGAACGGGGGTGTCCGGGGGTGGTGCAGGAACGGGGGTGTCCCGGGGGTGGTGCAGGAACGGGGGGTCCCGGGGGTCGGGAACGGGGGGTCCCGGGGGTGGTGCAGGAAGGGGGGTGGTGCAGGAACGGGGGTGTCCCGGGGGTGGTGAAGCAATGGGGTTGTCCCGGGGGTGGTGCAGGAAGGGGGGTGTCCCGGGGTGGTGCAGGAACGGGGGTGTCCCGGGGGTGGTGCAGGAACGGGGGGTCCCGGGGGTGGTGCAGGGGGGGGGGTGGTGCAGGAACGGGGGTGTCCCGGGGGTGGTGCAGGAACGGGGGTGTCCCGAGGGGTGCAGGAACGGGGGTGTCCCTGGGGTGGTGCAGGAACGGGGGTGTCCTGGGGGGTGTCCTGAGGGGTGGTACAGGAATGGGGGTGGAGCAGGAAGGGGGTGTCCCAGGGGTGGTGCAGGGAGGGGGGTGGTGCAGGGAGGGGGGTGGTGCAGGAGCGGGGGTGGTGCAGGAAGGGGGGTGCAGACTCACCGATGAAGGAGATGGCCTCGGGGAAGAACTGCGAGAGGTTCTGGCTCCAGTGGTCGGAGATGGGGATCTGCTTGTACTTGAACCCCCCGTGGTGCTCGAAGGTGTTGGGCAGGTTGGGGGGTCACATTCAGGATGTATTGGATGTCGTATTTCCCCAGAATGTCCAGGTTGGCCGAATCTTTGGCGCAGCCGAGGTACAAGTATGGAGGATCTGCACGGGGAAAGTCGATTGGTTGCTGAGGGTGGGGCTGCCTTCCGATTCGGTCGCGCTGATTGGCTCCCGGTCAGACTCGCCGTCCGAACCTTCGGAACTGATCCTCAAGCCCCCCAGTCCGAGGACACATTCTGGAGTGGGATCCGTGGGGGAGGGGCTGTCCAGGCCGGCCTCACAATGATCCGGGAATTCCCTCTGGAATTTGCTGTAACCCCCTACAGGAGAAAACAGAGGAGGAGCAATGATGACATCACCAAGTACAGCCAATCAGCATGTCCCATCCCTGCCCCTCCCCCTCCCCTGTGTCCCCAATATCAGGATCACATTACAGACAAGATCCGCCTCTTATTAATAAAAAACCACTGAGATGATGTCATCAGTCTGCTGCAGGCAGGAGGAAACATGTCCTCAGTCCCCCTCCCCCAGTGATCAGACCGTACATTGTAACTTTGTAGAAGGAGGAGGTGGCATTTCCTCAGTCTCCCCTCCCCCAGTGATCAGACCGTACATTGTAACTTTGTAGAAGGAGGAAGGGGGCATTTCCTCAGTCTCCTCCCCCAGTGATCAGACTGTACATTGTAACTTTGTAGAAGGAGGAGGAGTCATTTCCTCAGTCTCCTCCCCCAGTGATCAGACTGTACACACCATACAAACCTCACACCACCAATCTTTTCTCCACTCCTCCCGCGACCTCCTTCTCTCGTCTCCTTCTCCCACGCTTACCTCCAGGACTCCTCCAGAGCCTTTCCCATACTCTGGAACTCCCTACCCCAATCTGTCCAGCTATCTACTCTGTTCTCCTTTAGGCGTTTTTTTTTTTTTTTTTTTTTTTTTTTTTTTTTTTTTTTTTTTTTTTTTTTTTTTTTTTTTATTTTTTTTTTTTTTTTTTTTTTTTTTTTTTTTTTTTTTTTTTTTTTTTTTTTTTTTTTTTTTTTTTTTTTTTTTTTTTTTTTTTTTTTTTTTTTTTTTTTTTTTTTTTTTTTTTTTTTTTTTTTTTTTTTTTTTTTTTTTTTTTTTTTTTTTTTTTTTTTTTTTTTTTTTTTTTTTTTTTTTTTTTTTTTTTTTTTTTTTTTTTTTTTTTTTTTTTTTTTTTTTTTTTTTTTTTTTTTTTTTTTTTTTTTTTTTTTTTTTTTTTTTTTTTTTTTTTTTTTTTTTTATTTTTTTTTTTTTTTTTTTTTTTTTTTTTTTTTTTTTTTTTTTTTTTTTTTTTTTTTTTTTTTTTTTTTTTTTTTTTTTTTTTTTTTTTTTTTTTTTTTTTTTTTTTTTTTTTTTTTTTTTTTTTTTTTTTTTTTTTTTTTTTTTTTTTTTTTTTTTTTTTTTTTTTTTTTTTTTTTTTTTTTTTTTTTTTTTTTTTTTTTTTTTTTTTTTTTTTTTTTTTTTTTTTTTTTTTTTTTTTTTTTTTTTTTTTTTTTTTTTTTTTTTTTTTTTTTTTTTTTTTTTTTTTTTTTTTTTTTTTTTTTTTTTTTTTTTTTTTTTTTTTTTTTTTTTTTTTTTTTTTTTTTTTTTTTTTTTTTTTTTTTTTTTTTTTTTTTTTTTTTTTTTTTTTTTTTTTTTTTTTTTTTTTTTTTTTTTTTTATTTTTTTTTTTTTTTTTTTTTTTTTTTTTTTTTTTTTTTTTTTTTTTTTTTTTTTTTTTTTTTTTTTTTTTTTTTTTTTTTTTTTTTTTTTTTTTTTTTTTTTTTTTTTTTTTTTTTTTTTTTTTTTTTTTTTTTTTT